CATGACATACATAAGACTTTTCACTACTTATGCACACGGTACTCGAGACATTTTCATCTTCTTCGCTTCATTTGCTGGGACTCATACTTAAGGATAACTTACAATTAATAGGAAGTGGGGTGGAAATTAGTTTGCAATCTTGCAGCGCCGTAAGATTTTCAGTAAATAATTCTTCTAAGAAAGTCAAACCTTCCTATCTTTTCTGTCTCTGTAAATTTGCATTCTTAAAATTTTGTTTACTAGTCCCAAGCCCTTCATGTCAAACTCCCTAGTCAATTGTGTCTTTTAACTCTTAGACTCGATCTTTGTTAGGGCCTATTACCAACATATCATTCACATACAACAACAAGATAACAAAATCATTATCACTAAACCTATTGTAATATGTACAATGGTCTAAGCTAAGTATGTTGTAACTAAGGCTAATAATGAAGGAATAAAATCTCTTATACCAACATATGGGCACCTGTTTTGACCGTACAAAGAATTGGTCAACCTACAAATCAAGTTTTCTTGTTTTTGAAAGCTTTCCAGTAGAAGCATATAAATTTCCTCTTCAAGATCTCCATGAAAAAAAACAGTCTTTACATCCAATTGTTCAAGATGTAAATCAAATGTAGCACACATAGCGAGGACAACTCTAATGGACGCTAATCCGACAACCAGTAAAAATATCTCATTGAAATCAATACCTTTTTTATGAGCATATTCCTTCTACCACCAATCTAGTATAATATCTTTCCACTTGATCATTGTCATCTCTCTTAATCTTATAGACCCATTTGCAACTAATGACTTTTCGACCTTTTGGAAGTTCCACAATATTTCATGTCTTGTTTTTATGAAGAGCCTCAATTTCTTTCTGCACAGAGAAAAATCTGAACAACTCAGCCTCTTGAAAATTGAAGGTTCTCCTTCTTCATTCAGAAGACAATACGCTTCATGACTTGCCATCATATATTGTGAATGTTAGGATGGTCTGACTATTTCTCGTATTGATCATTGAGATCTCCATTACAACTTCATTTGACTCTTGATCTTCGTGCTCCTCTTTTAACTCAAAACAAGACCGAAGGTTTCTTTTCTATATGTACTATAACCTTGTCCTTCATCAACATGTCATTTTTCTGCTCACTTTGCAGTTCATTTTCTGCAAAAACTACATCTCTTCTAATAACAACGTTGTGGACACTGAGATCCCACAAACAATATCTCTTCACATTGTCAGCATAGTCCAAGAAGATACATTTCCTAGATTTTGGATTCAATTTTGTTCTTTCTTGAGAGTTGTACATCTCACTTTGCAGTTCATTTTCTGCAAAAACTACATCTCTTCTAATAACAACGTTGTGGACACTGAGATCCCACAAACAATATCTCTTCACATTGTCAGCATAGTCCAAGAAGATACATTTCCTAGATTTTGGATTCAATTTTGTTCTTTCTTGAGAGTTGTACATCATGTACACAAGATAACCAAAAACACGTAAGGACAAATAGTCAGCTGGTTTACCTTTCCACATCTCCATTAGTGTGCTCAAACCAATGACGGTTGACAGTGACCAATTTATAACATAACTAATAGTTTTAACCGTTTCTACCAAAAAAAACTTGGCTACTCCAATTATTCGCAACATAACTCTAGTTCTTTCCAAGAGAATTCTATTCATGTGCTCTATTATACCATTCTGGTGAGGTGTATGTGGGACAAAAAATTGTCTGATGATACACTTTTGCTTGCAAAATGCTAAAAATTCTCCCTCTACATATTCTCCTTTGTTATTTGTCCTTAAGTACTTAATTTTTTTCCCAGTTCCAAGTTCTACCTGTGTTTTGAATTCCTTGAACTATGAAAACACATATGCCTTTTTCTTGATAGGGTACACCCACAATCTCCTGGAATAATCATTGATGAATGATACAAAATATTTTGCTCCTTCGAGGGATAGTACTGACGATTCCCACACATCAGAATGAATAAAGTCCAATATGTGTTTACTTTTACCAGTCACTCTAGCAAACTTTAATCTATATTGTTTGCTTATCACACAATGCTCGCAGAAGGGTAAAGTAACTTCTGTAAGTCTGGGTAAGACATTACGTTCAACAAGGATTTTTAGACCACTTTCTGACATATGACCAATTTTATGATGTCACATGATCACTGCATCTTCCTAACTTGTTGTCGTGACTGATTCATCCGTTCTTGCAACGTATCTCCAAACAACATATACAAATTTTCCATGATCTTCTTTGCTTTCATGACCACCAAACTCCCTTTCACCACCTTTAAGATTCCCCTTTTAATATGAATCTTACACCTGGGGTCATCTAATTGCATGATGAACAACAGATTCTTCTTTAAGTCCTTCATATGTTGTACCTCTTGAACTATGCGAACAGAACTGTCATACATTTTAATTTTGACAATACCAACTCTAGCAATCTCCAAGGCATTGTTGTTTCCCATGAAAACAGATCCACCTAAGACAAGTTCATAAGTGTGAAACCAATCTCAGTGGAGAGTCATGTGACAAGTTGCACCTGAATCCACTATCCACCTGTCATGAAACTCTTTTTCACCATTAGAGCTAATTATTGTTTCGCTCACCAGAATATCTCTATCTTCTGAGGTACTTACAGTACAACCTTATAGAGTTGATGCATTAAAGTTGTTTCCTCTTCCAACACTCTTTCTTCATATGCCTTTTCTTGCCATAAAAATAACATTTGATTTTAGATTTTTTCTTACTTTGAGAGTTCAATCTATCATGATTTTGACTTTTACTGGAGTCACGTTCCGTTGATCTCCCTTTCATCATCGTTAAAGCCTCTGCTTGTTTGGAACTTTCACCCATACTCATCCGCCTGGATTCTTCCTCAAGAATAACTCTGACGACATCCTCAAAATGCATATTCCCATCAATATTATTATTTGTAATATTGATGATGAATTGATCATACAAATCAGGCAAACTCTAAAGCAGAAGCTCTACATGTTCATTTTCAATTATGTTGAAATCTATCGTTGATAGTTGGACAAACAAGATATTCAAATTATTGATGTGGTTCTCCATTAATGTCAACTCACTCATATGAAGAGTATAGAGTTTTCTCTTCAATAATATTCTTGTGTGAAGTGACTTCACCTCATATAGTCTAACAAGGGTATCCCAAATCTCCTTCGCAGAAGTTTTCTTCGCAACACTAGATAAAACTGAATCTGTCATTGCTAAGTGCAAATTCGCAATAACATTATCGTTCATTTCTTTCTATTGTCGTTCATCTGTGTGTTCCATAGTTCTTTCCGTAATTGCATCAATATAATTGTCCTTCCTTAACATTGCATTTATCTTCAATTTCCACAATGAGAAATTTCTCCTATTGAATTTTTCTATCTCATATTTTGTTGTCATGGTTCAAAACTGACTTTTATGTAATTCTCACTATGAATAGTATTTCCTACTGGAACAACAACGATAAATCGCTGACAAAATACAAAGTCTTTTCTTGCTAGAATACCAAATAATATCCAGTAACAAAAATTAATCTTTTCTCTTATATGGAAGATCAGATTAACGGATATCACAAACTAGTGGTTCTGATACCACTGTTAGATATAAGATAAAAGCATAAACACATACAACTAAAATAAAAAGATAAAAAAACATCGATAATAGATAAAAGGGTAAATTCACTAATGAAATAAATTACAACTCTTCTCTCTATCTCCAAAGAGAAAACAATAATACTCTCTCTTGAAAATAAAAGAAAATCAACACTAAGAGAACCTTAAAGTAAAAACTATCTTTCCTCTCTTAATTTATCTCTCAAGTACTAAAACAAAATAAAAAAAAAAGTGATTTTGATGTAATGTATAAGATAAATACTATACTCCTTTTATACTAAGAAAAATACGCACCAAAGTAAGATTTACCTAATGTGAAACTTCTTTTCTAACATAATGTTCACGTATGAAATATTGTTCGCTTTGAAACTCTCGTTCATCACACTTTTATCTTTAAAAAGCGTCTCATTATATATAAGAAAAAGAAAAATATATATAAAATACTTTTAACTTCGACTCGATGCGTACTATAATAATATTAAATAAGATGACATATATAGTTTAATTTTAAATACGAAGAACAATATATATAGTTTAATTTTAAATACGGAGAACAATATTAAATTAGATGACATATATAGTTTAATTTTAAATGTGTCATATTTTCTAACTGTTTTTGAAGGTTATTTATTAAGTTTAATGCAAAAATAAAATATTAATCATATAAAGGTAACAAAATATACTATAAACTAAAATAACTATATTTTGTGAAATATACCATTTAATTAAGTAGTACATTTCTTATTTAATATAAGTAAACGATTTTTTAGACACATTAAAAAAAACATGTATTTGTCCATATTAATATTTTCTCAACTTAACAACTCTTAATAGGATATAATTGTAAAAATAAATTATTAACATTAAATAGATATTTTTTATTACTTACATTATTTTTAATAAAAATTTATAAAGTATATCATTTTTATATCATATTTCAAGATATATATTTATTATTAATTTAAACCTTGGAATAACTTTACAAACCTCTATCTTAGAGGACTGCTTATTCGTCATAAAGTGAGATTGTCGGAATTATTCGTGGTGAACTCAGTTAGTCCAACTTACGAGTTATATATTTATTAGGTTTATTTGTATCTTTCTTTTACAAGAACAAAATATAAATATGTAAAAAAAAAAAAAAAGTTATTAATTCAAAGATTAACTAGAAAAGTTGCACTCTATCGGAAAAATCATTCAGCCCAGGTTTGATTTGAAAAAGGGGTGCGCAAACTTTAGTTGTATTCCACGGTCTACACGTTTTTAGTTGGATACTCTTGGGTTTCTCTCAAATTGCATTTTACGTTGGCCATGAAACTTTAAGCCACCAAAATGGTTGTTTCATAAAAATCTAGATCGAGAATATTGAAGGATGGGTGATTACCATTTTGTGTACAAGGACGTAGAAGGAGCCTCTACTCAATGGGACGATATTCAGAGAAAGCTCGGAAATTTGCCCCCGAAGCCCCCCGCTTTCAAGCCCCCACCTTTCACCCCTTCCTCTGATCACCAACCCAAAGACAAAACCTGGATCGATTCTAAAACCTCCGATGAACTCGAAGACCTCGAAGATGACCTCGACGATGATCGATTCCTCCAGGAATACAGGTTCTGCTTCAGTATTTTGTTTTTCCATGTTCTATTACCCACGAGTAACGGTTGGGTAATTCGTGAATTTGTTTTTCACCTAGGTGGTTGATAATGAAAAAGGTATGAAGCTTTTCGTGAATTTGTTGGTGGGGGACTCTTTGTGTTGTTTGGTAGAGAACAATTGTATGCGACTTGTATTTGTTTATTTTCTTTGTTGCTGAGTACAATTTGGTTGGGAATTGTTGTGGTTTTGAGATTTTATAGCAAATTAATGCTTATGAGTCTATTTATTTACCCTTTTTTTCAACCTTTTCGATATTAGCGAATACAACTTTCTTGGGTATTATTGTGTATTTAACATTTTATAGCAAATTAATGCTTAAGAGCCCGTTTACCTCTTGTTGAAGACTGGTTTGGCCTGAACTCGCTTTAAAAGTAGAGAGTAAATGAGTTATGAGATTAGGACAACGCAAAATTAGGTGTGTGTATGTGTTTGTTTTTATTTAACTTGCTCCTGATTGAATCATTTTGCTGTGATAGGAAGAAGAGGTTGGCTGAGATGCAAGAAGCAGCTAAAGTACTGAGGTTTGGGTCTGTGATTCCTATTTCAGGATCTGATTTTGTTCGAGAGGTGTCACAGGCTCCATCTGATGTTTGGGTGGTTGTCATCCTTTACAAGGAAGGGTATGATTTTATTTAGGAATTTCTTTGATTCTGTAATGTATTTAGTTTTTCAGGTTTCTTATGGTGATTTTGACAGGATTCCTGAATGTGGATTGTTGATGCAAAGCATTGAAGAATTGGCGGTAAGATATCCTGCAACAAAATTTGTAAAGATAGTATCTACTGACTGTATCCCAAACTACCCGGATCGAAATGTTCCTACTTTATTGGTTTACAACAATGGGGCAGTCAAAGGAAATTATGTAGGTTTGCATAGTTTCGGGCGAAGATGTACTCCTGAAGGTATTTATGTCTCAATGCCAGCCTCGTTCTTTCTGTTCTTTTATTTTGAAGAGTGCCCCTTGTTAAATTTATTCACAATTCCTCTGTGGAATTAAGGGCCAAACTTGCATAGGAGTTTCTAATCAGAAGTGATTCTTTTTTTGACATTCTAGAACTAGTTGAAAGGTGTTTGTTTCTTGTGTGAATTTAATCCTGATAAATGTTGTTAAATAACTGTAATAGTGCTGCCATAAGACTATGACATGGTGTTTTCAGCCCCTCTGCCACAGGCAATTTGTGAAGACAGGGCAGCCATGGCAACACCATAGGTCGCAATGGTGTGTTTATATGGTGAAATTTTGGCCTTGCGCCATCTGCTATTGATAATTTTGATCCTGATAATAACTATCTGCTTAATTGGTCAGATTTTGTTTTGGTCCACATCATTTTGGCGACATTATTACATTTAGGTAGTGTTTGGTTAGCTGTTTTGTGACTTTTCTTCTCCTTTAAGGGAGAAACTGGCAATTCTCTACAGAAAAGCTCTTCAAGATATAAGCAGCTTATCTTTTTAAAGGAGATTTGAAAACAGCTCCTTGGTGGAGCTTAGGATCTGCTTAATTGGACCTTTTTTTCTGGCAAGACTCTGATACAAATTCCATCTCGCTCTTTCAGTTTTCTTTCACTGAAATAATTTAGAAAACCTAAACTTGCTAGCCACTAGACTCTTGCTGCTCTGCAAATTCCCTCCAAGTTATCGCAGTCCTCTCTCACCATTACGATGTTATTGTTGTGCGGGGACCTAAGCTATTGAGTTTTCCATGCTGTTGGTTATATCTTATCAATCTCTACCCTTGGCTCTTGGCAGTCATGTCAATATCATTAGGACTCCATTGTCTCATACTCCACACCTCATTCTTTGTAGACAAATTTTGTTTCAATCCGCTTGGTTTGACTTAGTGGGCTATGTTTATTAACTGTATACCTTTTAACTTAAAAAAAGAAATTTTAAGTTAGAAAAGATGTTAAGATCCAATTGCAAGACAAGAGTCCCACCCTAGAATTATGGATTCTAGTATGGCTGTGGGCTCTCCAACTATAACAGCTAGCTTTTTGGTTTGGTTCTTTTAAGGTTGTTTTATAAGCAAAGTAGCAAACAAACAACTATTTTTTTTTTTTGGTTTGAAGTTTACCTTGTAGTTTTAATTTAAAGTCGCTGTTAAGTTTAAAAAGAAGAAAAATAGGGCAAACAATATTTTTTGTTGTTGTTGGCTCTTCTCGTCTCCTTGCCACTGTTCATGTAAAAGTGAAAAGAACAAGTAACCATGTCCTTACAACCCTGCTCATCAAACTTGTTACTATTTTTACCTTATCTAGTGCCCCCCCCTGATTAGATTTGTTCATGCCTCATGGCAATGCTTCTCTTACCTTTTTACATTCTCACAAAGTTGTCTGGTTGTTACACATTGAATTCTTTGCATGTTCTGGATATCAGGTGTTGCATTAGTCTTGTGCCAATCGGATCCTGTTCTTCATGATGGTCATAATAGAAATGAGGAAGTTATTGAAGGAGTCCGCAAACGGTTTATAGAGAAAGTTGTTGCTGATCATGAAGAAGAGGATGATGATGATTACTCAAGCGATTAAACATTTTTTTCTTGTATTTGTTGTGTTGTTTTCTTCGGAAGGGACAAGTGTTTCCAACTTTCTTTTGGTCTCACTTTTAAAATTTTGCCTCATAAACAAAACACTAATTGTTATGTTAAATTATGTGTGGTGTAGTCTTGTTTCATTCTTACTAATCAGATGATTTTCAGGTACTACGTGTAACAAAGAGAATTATATGTTTCCTTTTGTAAACATATGAAGTTATGAACGATTGTATGAATAACAGATTGGTTCAGTTGAAAATCAAAACCTGGGCATTTTCTAATTTTCGGTAGTGATTTCAAATTTTATAAGAATCACAAAAAAGATTTTTGTATTGAGATGATAATAAAAATTTAATTTTGTAGGACTAAACAGCGTTACTTCTCTCCCCCTCTTTCTCTCAATATATAACACGGTAAATAAAGTAAACAATCTCTTTATACTATTAATTTGTTGCGAAGTATATCAATGAGACATACGTTTATTTCTTTTATTTGTTAAAAAATTATTAATTAAATTGTGAGTAATGGCATTAAATATAAGTTCTAGTTAAACTACTTAACAACGATTTTTTATTCTAAGTAAGATCTATAATGTTAAGTAGGTTGATGTTAAAGCGAAGTATGCCAATCCAAAATCTAATTGAGATGAGTGAATTGCTAAAGCAAAATAGTTTTATATAATTAAGAGAGTTTGTATATGCCAAAATTAAAATTCAGTGTCTAAGGTCTATCTTAATTGGTTTTAAATTGTTATAAATCCTTTTGAATGTATTTAATTCTTGTACTTTCATATGAAATTTGAAATAGTCTTTCTGTCAAAGTTCCGTAAAAATGATTTTTATACTTTTGAAATGATTGGAATAGGTCCCTATTTTAAACATGTTAAATATATGGTGACCTATCTACTAGAGATAATATGCTCCATTCATTGTTTGACACATGTAATTTTTTTTAAAAGCAAAACCTTTCTTAAAAAGAAGAAGAAATTATTCAACAGAGATTATTATTTAAAAAAAAACAAAATAACCACTTTTCTCCTCACGCACCAAAGCTCTTCAATTCTCATTATAACCAATTTTCATTCTCTTTTCTTTTCTCGTCACACACCAAAGATTTTTTCCACTTTCTCTGTAAAGGTTGTATGAAGTCAAAGTGACTTTGAAGTTCGACGGTTCCATCGATTCGTTATGGTTCAACTGACAGTGCGACGGTGGTGCACAGTGGCAGTGTGCAACGATGGTATACCATAGTTAGGGTTTTCATTTCCGAAAATTAAGGTAGAGAAGTTTAAATGACTTATAAATGGTAGAGAAATTTAAATTTCTTTTTAAATGACTTTTAAATGTTATAAATGTGGATTTAAATGACTTTTAAAAGCTTGACACCTTTTAATTTTATTTTTTTAAATAATTACACGGGTCAAATAATGAATGAGTTATACAATTTTTGTTAGATAGGTCAGCATATACTTAACGTTGTTTAAAATAGGGACCTATTTCAATCATTCCAAAAGTATAAGGATCATTTTTATATGAACTATGACAGAAAGAGTATTTTTAATTTCACATAAAAGTATAGAGACTAAAAACATACTTAACCCTAAAATTTTCTTAAATTCGTTGATAAATTTAGAAAAAGTTAAATGCGTTTGTAGTTGTAAAATATAAATGTATTTTTTTTCTTTTGGCCTTTATAAATATATTTTTTTAAACTTCTGATCCTGTATTTTTATCACCTTGTTATTTTCTTTAATTATTTTAAATATTTACCCATTTTTTTAGAATTTATAATGAAATGTTTTCAATTTGAATTAGTCCCTTAATTTTTTTGTTCGAGTAGAAATTAAAAGCAAATCATCTACTTACTACAAGGAAAAAAATGAATACTTGAGAGGGATTAAAAATAACAAGGGCCAAATCCAAAAAATAAAATAAAATTTCACATACCAAAAAGTTTTTTTTTTTAATAATTCAAGAACCCAAAAAAAAGATTATATTTCAATTTAAGGACAAAATAATTATACTTAAACCATTTAGAAATTAAGGGAGAAACCTAAACTAAATAATTTATTGTGGTTGCTTGTGTTGAATGAGTCAAAAGATTTAGATGATGTGTTTTTGTTTTAGATTTTGGTTTTACTCTGCTACTTATTTTTTAGGAATAAGATGTTAGTGCATAAGTTATTAGCTATTTTTCAGTAAAGCAGTTGTATGGTCAAGTTTAGTCTATGAACTTGACTATTTTATTTATGTATAGTCTATGAACTTGACTATTTTATCTAAGTGAAAATACAGTTCAATGAATGATTGTTTTTTGTTACCAAAACAACTCCTTCACCTTTACCAGTTAAAAGTAACATTTGGTATCAAGAACCTGTTGGAAAATTAATAATAATAATAATAATAATACTGATTTTGATTCTAACGATCAAACATAAACGTAATTCCATACTCGATAAACATGTTGTAAACTGAATGCGAAAGCGTACCTGAATTAGCCATAACGATGATGTCTTTGTAGAGCACTATATTGATCTTATGGTCTTCCACCTGAAGAGCACTTGTATTTCCCTCTTGATTTTCTCTCTTGATGGGGATAGAAAGAAAGAAACGGGACTGATACTTAAGTTCTGTGTGTGTGCTCCCAGAAGGGGACCACGACCCCTTAAAATAACCAGAATTAGGTTAATTACTTAAGTTTTAGTATTTCCAATTTGGCCCCTCATCAAATTAGAAATTGCTCAATGGTCTCTACACAATTTTATTTTCATGACATATGCCTTTAGCCAAAACTTTAATTTAGTCAGATCATTTTATTATTTGGCTTAATAAATAATGACCCTAACACATTTAAATTATGTATCATATATATACATGACCCAAATTTTGCCAACAATCTCCCACTGGTCACAAATATATATGTCCTTACAACCTTACAAATGTGTTAGACTTTATGAGCTCAAAATTGTCATTATATTCCTTTAGCATACTCCAAAAGTCCTGTCCATTAATCATATCAGGATATAGAACCAAACCAGCTTTTTATTGCATCATCGCAACTAAAACCAACAATGATTACTCATCCTAACATAACCAAATGACATGGATTCATCATGAAATGTGTAGCATGAAAAATTACGTGAAGGTGATCTGTACACGTCTATTTTCAACTGGTCCAAACTTTAACTTATCGAGATTGATATAATATCCTTAATGTACAAAGTGTAATGAATGAACGAATATCTATAGATAACCAAATATGTAAAAAAAACAATGTATACATATATAAAATTAAACATAGAACATAAAATATATGAAAGTGACTAACTCTCACTAAACCACAAATTCCTCAAACTGTAAAACACCCATGTGAGCAACATGCTCATGAAAGACCTTGGGCGAAATCCTTTAGTTAGAGGATATGCTATCATGAAGTTTGTCCTTAAGTGTTCTATGAAAATCTGTCCACTTTGTACTCTTTCCTTAACAATACAGCTGATTTATTGTCACAATATAACTTAAGTGGTCTTTCAATGCCTTTCACAATTTGCAGTCCTGTGACAAAATTTCTCAGCCATGTTCCATGATTTGATGCCTCATAGCATGTTACAAATTCTTGACATCCTACAAAATCTGAGTCAGAAAACCCAGCGATCTCCAACTGGTCTGACCTCCTATATGTGAGCATATAATCTTTTGTTCTCTTTAAATATCTTATGACCCTTTTTTGCTGCTTTTCAATGGTCTATTCCTGGATTGCTTAAATATCTGCCTAGAACCCCAACTATATATGCTATGTCTGGATGCGTACATACTTGGGCATAGATCAAACTCCCTACAACTGATGCATAGGGAATCTTTTGCATTTCCTCAATTTCCAAATTCCCTTTGGGCACTGATTGAGACTAAACTTGTCTCCCTTTAAACTTGTGATACATACAATCATCAACAATATTCATCTTGAAGCCAAATGAGTTTCATACCTTCTGGTAATGGGACAAGTTCCCAATAACCTTATTGTCTTGCATGGACTTATACTTATCTTATTGCTTCAATCCACTTTTGAGAGTTAGAACCTTGTATAGCTTGACGGAAGTTAACTGGATCATCTTCCATTATAACATTATTTTCCTCATGTTCCTGAAGAAATATCATGTAATCATCCGAAATAGCACTTCTTCTTTCTCTAGTGGATCTCTACAAAGTTATTAGCTCATGATGCACAGGTTCTTGAGGATCTTGAGTTTGTTCTTCATGAACAACCAAATCATCTTGAGTAAGGGGTTCATCAACAATGCCTTGTGGAGGTTCCGAACTTACTTTATCAAAAGTAACTATTTGAATCGGTTCCGAAATTGTTACCGATTCTTCCTCCAAGATGAAATTCTTAATCTTATTCTTCCCCCCAAACTCAATATCCTCAAAGAACGTAGCAGTTCCCGTCTCAAAAATTGTCTTTAATGTGGGATCATAAAATTTATATCCCCTGGATCTTTCAGCATAACCGATAATATAATTACTTACTGTTCGGGATTCCAATTTCTTTTCATTTGACTTATAAGGTCTTGCCTCAGCTAGACAATCCCACACATGGAAATGCTTCAGACTAAGTTGTCGCCCAATCCAAAGCTCATAAAGTGTTTTGGTAGCTGCTTTAGTTGGTACTCTGTTTAGAATATAAGCTGTCGTATTTAGTGTCTCTCCCCAAAGTGATTCCAGTAAGGTGGAATGACAAATCATACTCTCTACCATATCTTTAAGAGTGTAACACAAGCTCAAACGTCACGATTTGATTGTGACCTGAGCACTTGTGCCATAATGCACCTGAATGAGTATTTTCAATTTTACGTTTAGTACCACGTGATTCTGTATTAAGGGTTTCATTATAGGTGACCACAATATCAAGTAAATACTGATTATCATAAATCAAAAGTGAACCAGTTCCAACAATATCTGAATTAAAAGACAAGCTGAACTTATTGTTTTCAAATGAACA